GGGTTATAGGCATGAGCCACCATGCCTGGCCTATAAATTTTTTTTCAGAAAAAAAATTCAGGTCTCACATTTTTTGGAAGCCTTCCTTAACACTTCACTACCACCATCTAAAGTGCATACCCTCACCCTCGGACACAATGCCTGTCACACAGTAGCTACTCAATAAAGCTTTACTGAATTACGTTCATCTCTTGCTGGAGTATTCCCTATGACCTGCATGGAAAGAGGCCAGAAACAATTGGAAGGAAGATGCTTCACAAGGAATACTGGAAGTTTTCTTATCTCATGACTGCTGGGGAGGCTTTACCCCTCTCTCAGGAATTTAACATCTCCTGAAGTTGCTGACCTCTACCTTTCACAACTAAGAGCAGGCTGTGGCAGGCGACCAAGGTCCATTTCCATGGTAAGAAGAGCGGGGCCGGCCAGCTCTGTAGTCAGAGTGTGGCAGTCACTGATGAGCTGCTCCAACCAGCTCATTGTCCTACGAATTTCATCCTGAAGAATTCTGCACTCGGGATAATTGTGTACTTGTTTCTTCAATTCACAATTCAGCTTCTGCTCCCATTTCCTCCAAAGTGACTTGGACACCATATTGGCAAAACCACAGGATTTGCCTCTTGGTTTATTATCTTGGCAAATGACCCTATGTTCCAGCTCCCCTTGGCTTTCCAGTCTCCACAGTTGCCCTCCAGGGGTTCTCTAGGTCTACCTATCCCCCCTCCTAGAGGCTACCTCTTGACCCCAATACCCAGTGGTCTCCTCAGCACTCTAGGAGGGGCCAGCATGTCCAGATTGACTGAGTCTGTTATGATCAGAGATTGCCTCTACGTGTAATCTCAGAGGGTCACACCTGTAGAACGACTCTGGTCATCTCTGAACTGGGAGTTGAAGACCCTGGGTCTTGACGTGCATCCTGTGTGACCTTGATTAGGTCTTTCCACTTCTCTAGGTTTTGCTTTCCTAATCTATTCAGTGGCAAAACAGATTGGGATCAGGTAAAACTACAGGCCATGGATATGCTGAGGAAAATGAAAAAATACCAGGACATTTTCAAGGTCATCTTACTGCTATGGCTGCTGGGCCTGCCTGCAGACTGGGAAGTTGAGGATAACATGACAAGACAAATGTAAAAATGCCCAGAATGGAGTTATGAATATAGCGGTGGTCGAGCATGTGGAGGTGGAAACCTCTAAATGACCACAAGTGAGGAGGAAAGAAGGGCTTCCCTGCTCAGGGGTGAGGGGGTGGCCCCCTGAATGGAGCTCCCTGGAACCATGGATGACCCTTGCTGTCACTTCTTGCAACCCTGAGCTACAAAGAATTGAGTCCAAGAATAGTATCCGTTATGATAAAACTGCTGGATGTGTGGGTTGAGTGTGAGGGAGAAGGGGAAGTACCACACTATCAGGGCTGAGGAATCACCTTTTGGGTGGAATGTCAGAACACCCAGTTCACTCATACTCGGTTTACTCATTTGGCTATATAGGGGTTCACATCTTGAGTCCATATTACTCATCGCATCCCCTCCATGGAGATAAGCATAACACAGTTTCTGCATCAAGGAGCTCACTTTCCAGTTGGGGAGGCAACCACAAGAATAGATCAGTATGTGATAGGTGGTAAGAAGGACGTAGTTCAGGAGAATGTAGGAGCACAGGGAAGGACACAGGATTTACTTGGGAAAGAGGTCAGGGAAGTTTCTCTAGAGAACATGAGCATCTTTTTTGTCGTGTATTCGAGAGTCATTTGTTATCATCGTTTATTGGCTCCCTTGGCTTTCCAGTCTCCACATTTGTCCTCCAGGAGTTCCAAATGGCACCAGTGCCTAAATCTCGGGGTGGGGGGAGTTAATCTTGGGGTGGCTAAACAAAACGATACAAGTCCTTTTTACTCTCAGTGTGGACTTCCACTGGGTGCAGACACAGTATTGTTGTTAGGATCTTCACGAAGACCCCTCAGAACCTTTTACCTCCATGAGCCAAAGATCGGATCAAGGCTAGGAAACAAAAGTCAACAGACAAACTCATTGTGTGGCTCAATGATGACTAATCACCCATTTTATCAATCATTATTCTCCTGAAACCCAGAACAGGCATTCTCCTAACCCCTCCACCCTGCTCATTCAGACAGCTGCTCTGGTGGGGACTGAGACTTAACTTGGAGCTACTCATCTACAGCTGAGAGACAGCCTTCTCCATCCTTCAGGCTTCCTGACACTTTGTTTCTTCTTCTGACATGACACTTAGCTTATTCCACCTCGTGGCATAGTTATTTCTGTCACTGTCAATGCCATCTCTAGACATGGAACTCTTCAAAGGCAGGAATGGGGCTTCGTTCAGTTCTGTCTGCCCTGACAAACAGCAGATGGTTAGTACATTGGGTTGAATAAAAATGTCATAGATAACGAAGTCTGTGTGAATCCAGAGAACATGAGACACATTCTGCTTCTC